CATGAAGTAGAGATATTTCTTGGCGTTCGAACCATTTTTGTCGCCGTACATGATCATGGGCACTTCGCGAACGCCGAGCCGTTCTGCTATCGAGAACAGCGTGCAGCAAGTGTACATCGCCAGCTCGCGAGTAGGCGAGAAGAGCAGCACGCGCAGCCGCGCACGAACGAAAACCGGCGGCGCGTCTATGTCTTCCGCGAGTCCATAGTAAAATGACGCCTCGCGCGGAGCCGCAGCGCAGCCGCGCAACACCGCGAGCACGCAAAGCCCGAAAGTTTTCCCGACCGCATTCTGGCCGAGCGCAAGCACGCCTGCAGTTGCAACGCGCGAACCTACACTTGTGCACAGTGCATTTCTCAAGCAGCTCTCGCTGCAACGGATTAAGCGACAAGCGTGCAGTGGCAGCGGCGGAGTCCGAAGACTGCGAATCATTCGCGGTCGCTACGCACATCGGATTTGCAGCGGCTCGCGCGCCGGTAACTCTCTGCGGCTCGCAAGGCGAGCTGCACAAACGAGGAAGTCTTTACGAGTAATTAATTGATTAAATCCCAACCGGCCCGTCTGGAATATATTGGGCTTGGCAAATAACTGAGCTGCACCTTGTGCATCTGAATCTGGAAATTATCGGAGCGCGCTTACCTGGTCGTTGGGTAGCGAGGCATGAAACTAGTCTTTGCCGTAAGTCGCGGGTTCCTTGAGCCAGGGATCACTGGTGTGGTTGGCTGCCGCAATCGCGCCGCCAGAGAACATCGTGAGCCTGTTGAAAGGCGTGCCTCTAATCCACAACGAACTATTTGAAGAAGACGAGCCGTTGGAGAAGCCACGATTCGAAAGCGATCCGATTCTGCAACCCGGCGCGACGTTGCGGAAAGCGGTGCTAGACTTTTTGAAGGAAATTAACATCGTGAATAACAAACTGGTGAATCTCGACGGCAGCATGATGGAAAAATACGCGTTCAAGAACCGGCTGTTCACCAACAAAATCGTCGCGCCGGACAGCTTCCTGATCACAGTCGCTACGCTGCTGCTGCAAACGGTAAACCAGATAACTGTCACAATGAAGACCAATGAGTTTCCGCACTCGCTTTGCGTGGTGTACTCTGCACTCGCTAGAGCTATCGACATACTGCACGAGAAGAAAACCGAACGTTTAATCCCCTACTCCGAGAAAGTTGTCGTCGGGCGCGCGAAAGCACTTGTCAAAATGTTTTCGCACGTAGCGGGCTTGGACGCGGCTATTGAGCCTAACGAGTATACAAACCTGTCGCAGTCGATTTTCGCATTAAGCGAAACTGCTTTCAGCACCGAAATGCTCTCGTATAACGCACTCAACTACTTCGTGCCGCGCAACACGCAGCTCGCGCTGTACGACGAGCAGAGCAAAATGCGGCTGCTGTACTTCTCCTCGACCGTGCAGTTCGAGACGTGGGATAAGCTGCTGCGACGCAGCGAAAATATCGACGTGTTCAGCCAAGAGTTCATCACGGTGTTAATGTCGCTGAAGCTGCTGAACGCAACGCACTTGAGTAAGCCCAGCAAACTCATCAGTTCAAATGAATACTTGGGCGATCAGTTTCCGTTCGCGTTTCAACTGCGTTCCAAAATGATCCCGCATGCGGTGTTCGAGCACGCTTCGAACATCGTGCTCAACACAATAAGCTACTAGTCGAGCAGCGCCGCAAACTTTGCGATGCGCGCGGAGTAGAGCTGGGTCAATTTGAGCAGCATGCGGAGACACACGAGCACTTGAATCTGCGTGTGGCGCGCGCCAACTTACTTTCACGCCGAGCGTCGCGTCGAGCGCGTCGGACTCTTTTTTCAGCAGCAGCGAGAGCTTCGAAGCATCCTCTGACCTTGAGACCGCGGCGATTTTCTGTTCGTAACTCTCCGTGAGCTTTTGCTGCTCGTCGACGAAGTCGGCCGCGTCGACCAAGTGCGCTACGCCCGCGGGCGCGGCACTCGCACCGAGCGCAGTCCTGAGCTTCGAAAGCTGCCCCAGCAGCCGCTCGTCGTCCGGCCGCAGGAAGCACTTATCTTCCTGTGCGCCCGCGAGCGCAACGAGAGCCTCACGGAAGTCACTAAAGTAGCTGCCTACCAGAAAGCGGCAATGGCGAAACAATTTTTGCAAGTCGCGCAAATCGCCTTCCAACGCGCTGCAGAAGCAGTCAATGGTAGTGGAGTCAAACGTGCGCACCGCCTTGCAGACTGCGACTTCTTCGTAGAACCGGTTGAGCAGCTCAGGCATGCGCAGCGGCAGTTGCGCGAACAGCAAGTAGAGCATCAAAGCCAGCACGTAACGGAACTTTAGCGCGAGCTCGCTGCCGACGCAAAGCGGCACCAGCTGCAGCACCAGTCGCGACCACGCGAGCACGTGCGAAACGGTGATGGACTCGTCGAGCACCCGGTCCAGGCGAATCAGCTGCGCGTGGAACGCTCGCGGCTCGAAGAAGGTCTCAAGCGCGAAGAGGTTTTTCTCTTCGAGAAAGTTTTCAGGTTCCGCGCGAGTCGCGAACGCGGAGAAGTCATTGCGCGAAGTGAGGTACTTCGCGATCAGCCAGGCCAGTGTCAGCGCGCGCGGCTCTGACGTCAAAGAGCTGGCAACACGCTGAACGAACTCCGGTTCAGCGATGACGCGTGGCAAATTGCACAACTCCTGGTAGAAGCGCTCCAGGCTCTCAAGATCTTCGCTCCCTAGTTTCATGCGCTTCCATCAGCGGTGGCGCAGCAGATTTGAAATTGTTAAATAATATGCTCGCCTTTGCGGCATAATTGACAAGCTGATTTCGGTTTGCGTGGCGACGAATCGCGCAATGAGCGCTGTGCAGAGCGAGTGTTTGTTCACAAACGCGTCCCCGGAGCCGGGACTCCGGCCGCGCAATGAAGACGACGAAGATTACGTGCCTTCTGAAACAGAGATCCAGCCGGACGACTTCAAGATGCCGAAAGAGAAGCTCGTCGCGAGCGGCAGCCGGCCGCGCCGCTTTGCCGCACGAGAGGTGGAGGGCGGGGAGTGCGGCCCTGCGAAAAAGCACAAGCTCGCGCGCCGCACTGCGCAGCGCGAGGTGAGCGTGACGGTGCTAGAGTCTCGCGTGCACGACTTGCTGCAGGAAGCGAAGTGCGCGCTCGAGTTCGACAGCGCAAACGGGCGACAAAAGCTGCACTCCGTGACGCGCATCGGCGTGATCCGCAAACTACTGACGGAAGCCGCGAAGCCCGCGCTGCAAGACTACTACTTGCAGTCCGACTTACTGCGCATCCTCGCTGCCTGCCTCGCGCCGCTCGACAGACCAGAGGAGACTGGCGCGACGCTGCCGACTTACGAGCTGCGATGCATGATTTACGATTTTCTGGTCGAAGCAAACTTTTCGTTGAAGCACATCCGCAGCCACGAACTCGGCGAGCGACTGTTGCAGTTGTGGACGAACCCGCACGAGACGCAGCAGAACAAGCGCAAAATTCGCACGGTGGTCCGCAAGATTTACAAAATGACGATTGGCGCCAATGCGCACGCATGCAGAAAAACGAGCTAATCGTCGAAAACGCATGGACCTCGAGCAGAAGCGCGACGCGCGGCGCTCGACGCTCTCGCTCGCGTTCGCGCCCGTGTTGACGGAGGAGTCGCAAAAATACTACGACAAGTTGGTAAAGAGCATCGTCGAATGGAGCCGGCTGCTGGAGTGCGGCATTACGGACGAGACTGAGATGCGTGCCGTTTCGCAGAGAATGCGCGACTGGTACGCGAAGCTGCGCAACTCCACGAACCAGGCCGCGCCCGGGCTGCGCTTTCGACGCCACAGCGCGGTGACTAAAATCGAGATCGTCGCTCCGACCGAAATCCAAACCATCGAAGACGAGCTGCTGCAGATCGTCTGCAGCATCGGTTTCTTCAACTTTTTGAAGTACGCGGAGTCGAACGACGCGTTCCGCATCGCCGGAGTCAATTCAATTCTGCAAGAGCAGGAGCTCGTCGTAGAGCAGCTACCTTCGTTCATTAACGCCGCGCTGGTGAGCGCGCTCACGCGTTTCTGGGACCTCACTGCGAAGCTCGACAAGGCCAAACGCTCGCAAGTAAAACTGTTGAAAAGTGCAGTTCCCGCCGCGCAAGCGGACGCCGCTCAGACGTTGTCGCACGCGAAAGGCATTCGCTGGGCAGATATCGACGAAGAGACCGTTGCGAAGCGCGAGCTGCGCAACGAGAACATTCGACTGCTGAGCATTCCTACGGAAGCGCGGAACGCGATGATCGACGCGCTAGAAAGCTTCTGCAAATACCCGCAGGCGGTCTCGCCCGAGCTGTACCACTCGGTGGTAAAGAAGTTCAAGAACTGGTGCGACGAGTCGCACTTCAGCGAAAACACGCCGCTGCTCGGTCCGGACAAATTGGCGCACACGATTGCGAAACTGGAGGCTAAGCTGACGATCGCGATGTGCAACCTTGTGCTGCTGATCAAGTCGGCGCACGAGCGCACGAGCTCGTTATCGCTGATCACGCTCGCCAACACCGCGGACCCGTTCTCAAAGCTCGACTACTTGTTCGAGACAACCAAGCAAAAATTCTGCTCGATTCTGGCAAGTCTGACGTCCACGAAGCTCAAGCGCCGCGCGCTCGGCGTGCAGCTGCGCCAGCCGCACACCGTCGGCGAGCCGAAGACCATCTACGCAAAAGCGCTGTTCAGCGCGGCACAGAGTTACAAGGACTTTTAGTTGGCACACTTGCCAATGCGGACGAGCTTGATCTTCTCAGCAGAGCCGCTGAAGTGGTTAATTAGCTTCTCCGCCTTCTCTTTCTCGGGCACGACCATCGTGTGCAACCCGGAGCGCGTCTTCAGCTTGAACTTCGTGATGACTTTGTTGCCTTCTTTTTTCTCGACAATTGTCACAGTTCGCGGACCATGCGTGCCGCCGAGGCACTTGACGATGAAGTCTCGCAGCGTGGTTTCCTCAATAGGCATGGCTCAAATTTAAATAAAGACAAAACACGGCTCACAGCGCCGCGGCGGCTAATGCTTGTCGCTCAGCGCCACAACTCCCGGCAAGTCCTTGCCCTCCAGCAGCTCGAGCGAAGCGCCGCCGCCGGTGGAAACGTGCGAAAACTTGTCCGCGACGCCCGCGCGCTCCACAAGAGCGCCGGTGTCGCCGCCGCCAACGATCGACACGGCGCCGAGCTTCGTCGCCTCGACAACCGCGTCCACGAAGCCCAGCGAACCTTTCGCAAAGCTCTGCATCTCCGAAACGCCCTGCGGGCCGTTCCACACAATCGTCTTGCACTGCAGAATGCGGTCGCGCGCCTGCTTGATCGTGCGCGGGCCGCAGTCGAGCGACTCGAAGCCGTCGGGCACCCCCTCCTCGAGTGTCGCGGCCTTGATCACGCCGTTCTCGCCGTATTCGCTGGAAACCACAAAGTCCACCGGGAACAGTATTTCGACGCCGCGTTGCTTCGCCTTCTCCATTATCTGCGGAACCAGCTTCGCGCCGGCCTCGTCGTACAAACTATTGCCGATCGGCATGTTGCGCAACACCTTCAAAAACGTGTACGCCATGCCGCCGCCGATGATCATGTAGTCCACCCGCTCGAGCAGGCTCTCGATCAGCTGAATCTTGTCATGCACCTTCGCGCCGCCCAGAATGCTCAAGAACGGCCGCTGTGGATTGTTCAACGCCTTGTCGAAGTAGGTCAACTCTTTCTCGAGCAGTAGCCCCGCGCAGCGTGGGTTCAACGAGATACCGACCACAGACGCGTGCGCGCGATGCGCCGTGCCGAAAGCGTCGTTCACATAGATGTCTCCGAGCGCGCTAAGCTGCGCCGCGAAGCGCTTCACGGCCGCCGAGTCCGCCTTGACTTTCTCGCCAGCCGCGTTCACGCCCTTGCCCTCTTCCTCAATGTGGAAGCGCAGATTCTCGAGCAGCACCAAGCTGCCTTCCGGCGCATTCTTCGCCGCGGCCTCCGCGGCCGGGCCCACGCAGTCGTCGACGAATACGACCTTGCGCTTCGAGAGCTTCTCAAGCTCCGGCACAATCTGCTTAAGCGAGTACTGCGCGCGGCTCTGCCCGTCGGGGCGCCCCAAGTGGCTCATCAGCGTAACTGACTTCGCGCCGCGCTCGAAGATGAAGTCGATCGTCGGCATGGCCAGCCGGATGCGCGCGTTGTCGACGACGACGCCGTTCTTCACCGGCACGTTGAAGTCAACGCGCATGAGCACACGCTTGCCCTTGAGGTCGACGTCGCGAACGGAAACTTTGTTGCTTAACTTCATGCGTTTTGAGCGGAGCGCTATTTTTGACAGTAAATAAAACAAGTATTTGTAATCGATCAATTGTTCGTGTCGCGCGGCGGCCTGGCGAGCGCCGCAGCAAGTCGCGCACGCGCATCGAAGCGCGTCGCGGCGCAGAGCGTTGCGTCAGACGCGCGTGTCGCCGCGCCGCGCCGCGCATACTCTCCAATAAATACTTCTTTTTCGACTAATCTGCGAGACCCACCGCGCGGCTTCGCGGCACGACGCGCATTCAGAGGCTTCGCGTCCGTCCTTGCTGCCTTTTGCCGGCATGCAATACGACAGCCTATTTGAAATTGAGCTGGTGCGCCACTGGCACGGCGTTGCCGTCGCCACCGTCTACGAGCTGCTGAAGAGCGCGCCAAAGAGCACCCTGCGCTTTCTGCGGCGCAACTCGGCGCTGCGACTCAGTGAAATTCAGAATGCGCTGATCTACCTGATCAAGCACCGCATGGTCGCCTGGCACAACGAGACCGATTCGCGCGGCGTCGCAGTGCAATTCTACTCTGTTGTGCCTGAGGCGGGCTTCAGGGTACTGCGTTACGCGACGTACGTCAATTATTTCTTCGAACGCTTCGGCGCGCCAAGTTCTATCCTGGTCGTGTTGCTGTTGCGCAGCGGCTCCATCACTGTTGACGCGCTACTCGCACACGCGGTCGCGCACCAGGCACAGCTGATGAAACTGCTTCGGCAGCCCGGCACTGCGAACTACGGAGAAGAGTCGTTTCGCGAAGCCTACGAGCGGCTCGCGAAGCTGCATTACGTTCTGCAGCTGCAGAGCGCCGAACTCAGCGCGAGCGCCGATGGGGGCGCAAAGCCCGCCGAAAATCTCGCCTCCGACGCATACAGCGCCGCGCAGCTGCACTGCAGCCGCTTCTCCGTCACCAGCTTCGAACGACACGTCAGCCAGAACCCCGCAGCGTACCTCGAGAACTCGAACTACGAGTCACCAAAGCGCGTGGGAGCGACTTCGCTAGTTTCCTCTGCGGTTCCCGAACAGCTTCAAGCGAAGCGCGCCATCTGCATCGCGCTTGACAACTGCAAAATCGATCAAGAACTGTACTTACTCTACATCGAGAACCAGCTCGCTTACTCGCGCAGCAACACGCCGCTCAGCCGGCTGCTCGTGCAGGCGCTTCTCGGCGCGCCGAGCATGTTCGCGGGCGCGGCTCGCTTTCAACCGCGTCCGCTGAGCATCGCCTCACTCAGCTCGCTGGTCAACCGCTTCGTCAAGCTGCACCAGGTCACGCTGCCCGACGGCACCGTTCTTTCGAACGTCTCCGACAGCGAGATCTACGCCGAAATGGAGACGCTCAGTCAGCACACCGCCGGACTGGTCGCGACCGTGACCACGCACGAGGGCGCCTGCTACATGGTCAACTTCTTGAAGTGCCACCGCGAGTTCTTGCTGTGGGTCATCTTCGACACGGTCGTCGGCCGCTTCGGGTCCGAGGCAGCCGCCGTTTTCCGCATCGTGCTCGATCCCGAGCGCCGCTTCAGCGCGAACGTGCCCACGCACAAGCTCGACGTCGCAAGCTCTGCGGTCGCCGAGCACCTCGGCTACTCGAAGCTCTGGAGTGACGTAGAGGTGGCCGAGCTCGCGCTACTCAGCATCGAAAAAGTTCGCAAACACCTCATGGAGCTCGCAGAGGCCGGCTTCATCATCTCGCACTTCGCTGACACGCTCAACACCGTGCCGCGCTCGCAGGCCGGCGGCAACAAGCACGTTTTCGTTTTCACCACCACTTTCGAGCACGCAAAGACCGCGACGCTCGATGCACTCCACCTCTATGCGCTGAAGGGCCTCGAACGGCAGACCTACGAACTTTCGCGCATGCGCAGCATCGCGCTCGCGCAGACCGCGTTGGACGCGCACAGTTCCGCCGACCTCGCGCACTCAGAGCACGTCGACTCATTCATCGAAGCGTTTTTCCAGGCGCTAGGCAACGTGTTGCTGCTCACGAAGCTGTGGAACCTCGAGAACAACGAATGCTACTTGTTGGCCGAGAAGCTCGAGAGCCGGCAGGCCATTTAAGGCTGCCGCAGCTCCGCACATTCTGCTTTGCATTGCACATCTAGGCATGCGCGACCTCTTCCAGAAGCCGCGGACAAATTGGTATTTATTTACTACAGGCAAGACACGCATCGAGACTAACTGCGAAACGCTTGCGGAAGCGGTAACCGCTTGGAAGTCAATGAGCTCACGCCGAACGCGCCGCGCACTCAGCACTTGTTGAGCATGTAGCCGCCGAACGCGCCCGCATCGCAGTTCAGCCGAAACATGCCCTGGCACGGCGTGATCGCAGTCGACGGTGAAGGGAATCCGCACTCTTTCGTGACGTCGCTGAGCGCCTGTTCCAGCAAGCCGCGTGAACAGGGACTCAGCACCGAGTCGTATCGCGCCGCCGCAACCGCCGGCTCGTTCGGGCCGCCCGCCGGCTTCAGCTGCTCGTACTGCTGGCTGATGCTCGCGATCGGTAGCTTCAAAAAGCTCGGCAGCGTTTGTGTGAACTGCGAGTACGCCGTGGGATTCTCCGGAGTTGAAGACGCAGAGTTCAACTGCGCGAACGTGCTCGGCGTGCTCCCGTAGGCACCGGCGTCAGTGTGCGCGGGCTGCAGTTGTAGCGCTTGCTGCTCCATCTTGGCGCCGAGCCCCGCTGCGGAGAGCTCGCTGGGCTGCCGCATTTCCGGCGTCCTAAGCGCAAAGTAAGGAACCGACTCGGGCGCCGGCTGCTGCTCGGCGCCGTCGAGCAACGCGTTGTTCGCGTACAGCGCGGAGAGTCGCTCGTTCAACGCAGCGATGCCGACGGGCACCCCGCGCTCGTTCAAAATCGGCGCGCCCTGCGACGCAGGCACTTTGCAACCCTTCGCGTAGCTTTCCTTGCGCGCCCACTCGACGCGAACCTTGAAGCCGAGAATCGTCACCAGTCCGAGGTTCGCCGCCTGAATTGCGGCGGCCGCCTCTGCATTGCTGCTAAACCGAACAAACGCGTAGCCTGCGGTGCTCGTCCACTCTTTGTGCGGGTGCCGGCTCGCCTCGTCGCAGACCACCATCGCGAGCTCGACCATTCCGTATTTCCGGAATTCAAAAATTAGATCCTGGCGTACTGTGTTGAAGGGAACATTGACGATGATTGTGTACCGCGCAATGCCCTTCTTGTTCTCCGTTGAAGCAGTTTTCGCGTTCTGGTTCATGCTATAACATAAGTTTCGAAACGAACGTGAACGAATTTCTAAAATTCTCTCGTTTTATCAAATTCTAAAAACAGTTTGCATACTTTTTTTGATCTCGCCGATTCGTCGCTGACCGAGAGCCGGCGCTCTTCGTATGCTTCAGATCGCCTCGTGACGCGCAAGCAAACGAGCTGCGCATTTTGAGACGCCGAGATGTGGCAAGCGCAATTCAGTAATTATCAAATTTCGAAATATTGTCTCCCGCTGCGCTATGAGTGCGATAGTCACGCCTTGGGAAGTGTCGGCCGGCGAAGGAATCGACTACGTCAAAGTCGTTGAAGAGTTTGGCTGCGAGCTGCTCACCGAAGAGCAGCTCGCGCGCTTCGAGGCGCTGACTGGCGCAGCGCCGCACTACCTGCTGCGTCGCAAGAAGTTCTTTGCGCATCGCGACTTCAACCAGCTGCTCGCTGCGCTCGAGCACAAGTGCCCAATCTACTTGTACACGGGCCGTGGGCCGAGCGCGGAGTCGCTCCACATCGGGCACATGATTCCGTTCATTTTGTGCAAGTGGCTACAGGACGTGACGAACGCGGTGCTCGTGGTGCAGCTGACAGTCGACGAGAAGTACCTGTTCAAACAGGGCCTCGAGCTCGAAGTCGCGAAGCAGCACTGCCGCGAGAACGTGAAAGACATTCTCGCTTTCGGCTTCGACTTGCACCGCACCTTCGTGTTCAGCAACATCGACTACCTCGGCACAATGTATGAGACGGTGCTGCAGATCCAGAAGCGCGTAACGTTCAACCAGGTAAAGGGCATCTTCGGCTTTAACGAGAGCACGAACATCGGGATGGTGGCCTTCCCGGCCATTCAGGCGGCGCCCGCGTTCCCCAGCGCGTTTCCGGGACTGTTCGGCACAGGCGAGCACATCAAAGAGCTGTGTTGCCTTATCCCGTGCGCGATCGACCAGGACGCGTATTTCCGCATGACGCGCGATGTCGCGCCGCGATTGCACTTCAAGAAGCCGAGCCTGCTGCTCAGCGCGTTTCTGCCCGCGTTGCAGGGCGCGACGAGCAAGATGAGCAGCAGCGTCGCGACGACGTCAGTGCTGGTGTCGGATTCACCGGCAGTCGTCAAGAAAAAAATCAACAAATATGCGTTCAGCGGCGGGCAAGCCACGACGGAAGAACAGCGCGCCAAAGGCGCGAGCCTCGAAGTCGACGTCAGCTACCAGTACTTGACCTACTTCATGGCCGACGACGCGCGGCTGCGCGAAATCGGCGCGCAGTACGCGAGCGGACAGCTGCTCACCGGCGAAGTCAAAGCCGCTCTGATCGACACGCTGAACGAACACCTGCGCAAACATCAAGCGCTACGCGCGCAACTCGGAGAGGCGGACATCCAGCGCGCGCTCACGCCGCAACGGCCCGAACTGGTGCGCGAGATCACGGCCGCATGCGAAGCGCACCGCGCGGCGCGCGCGCGCCGCTAGCTCTGCGGCGCCTGAAGCTTCAGGTCTAGCAAGCATCTAACGGCGCCGGCGGATACGGCGAAGCGCACGCTGCCGCGCTCGCGCATCTCGCGCAAGTCGATCTCGCGGCTCGCGAAGTGCGAACTGAAGCGCAGTTCAGGAGTCTCGTCGGCGTGGCAATTTGCGCGCGCTTTGAGGCGCTCGATGTCGTCGAGCAAAAACTCGTGAAGTCGGCGCGGCTCTGCGAGCTGCGCGTCCTCGTGTTTCTCCTGCACGCGCGTGTCCTCTTCGTTTAGATAGCGAAAATTCAGCACCGCGGCGTCGCAGTTCAACAGGTTCGCCACTGCTTCGCTTTCCGAAAAGAAGCACGGCCAGATGCTATCTTCGGCTTCGCAGAAATACGCGCGGTGCAGCACGACGCTCGGCGGGATCGAGCGGCCTTTGTAAGAAGCGGTGACGCGCAGCGTGTCGATTTTCACCGAGGGGCCCTGCGTGCGGACAGACTGAACCTACCAAAAACTCGCGCAGCTCGCGCGGAGACTCCGCAGCGCTGCAGATCTCGATCTCAATCATCGCAGCACCGCCCAAAGTAGCACGCACAACTGCAGTTTTCGCCCTGCGAAGCACACGCGGCTCGTAATTTTAATACAATAAATAGGTTTACCTAAGCCCGTACAGTCGCGCGGCGCTTGCCGCGCGCGGCGCAACTTTCGCGAGTGTCGACTCTCACAGGAGCGGCTTCTCGACGCGTCAGCAAGATGCTGCTTACGCGACGGCCTTGATCAGTCGCTCGAGCAACTCACGCACGCTCGGGTCCTGTGCAAACACGCGGTCGTAGTAGCCGGTCTCCAGCGCGGTGAGTAGGCAGGCCGGCAACGCTTTGGCCAGCGGCTGCTTGCCTTTCGGGTGTTCGGTCAGCCGCAGGTAAAAGCGCAAAATGTGCTTGAACAACCGCACGCTGATGCTTTGCCCAGCGGAAGTGATCATCTGATGCAAGACCGAGACCACGGCGTAAAATTTTTCGGGCACTTCGAACAGCGCGGCGAGGCCGGCGTCGTAGAGCAAGACTTTCAGCACGATAAAAGTCGCGACGTTCTTCGAAAGTTCACTGCAGATCTGCATAATTTCGAGACAGCGCGGAATCACGTCGCTCTCGAGCAAAAAATTGAACACCACGGGGTCCTCGCCGCTGACCATGGCGCCCAAAATGCCCAGCCCGGTCAGCCGCAGAAACTCGTTCGGCTTGTGGTTGCCCGCCGGGATGCTGAGGAACGGGTACAGATAGACCGGCATCAGCGCCTTGATGAACTCGTGTTTGGTGTCCGGGTGGCTCGCCACCGACTGCAGCAGAGTCAAACACGCCCAAACTTGGTGGCTGTCGATCGTCGACAAGTTTCCAGTGGTCAGCAACGGGTAGATGCTGAGGATCTGGCTCAGCAAGACGGTGATTGTTCCGTAGGAGTACCAAATGTAGCACGCGAGGTCGGGCACGGTTTCGCGATACTCGAGCAGCTCGATCACGGCGCTCTTCAGACACGCCGGGTCCGACACAGACTCAATTAGTTCCGACACGCGCTGGATGCTATGCCGATCGCCTTTGGGAGCGTTTGCGCCGCTGGCGTCCATCGCTGGTGGCTGGAAAGCGGAAACGGATTACGCGCTGTGAACTTCCTCGAGCAGTTCTCGAGCTCAATTTGAGGTCTTAGTGTCGCGCGACGATTTATCTCGCAAGACGGAAATAGCGGATTTAAGAATACTAAATATTGCGTCTGCATTTAATCGGGCGCAAACCGACAGCTCGCGCGCCGTTTCCGCGTGCCGCGCCTGCAATCGCAGCAGTTCGCTGATCTCCTGTTTTTTTTCCGCGAGCACGCGGACCTTCGCGGCGGGCGCTCCAGAGCGTGCCGCAGCCGCGTCGTGCTTCATTGCGCGCAGCAGTTCGACTAGTTCGCAGCGCGCCGCGTCCAACGCATGCTGCCATGGTTCGGCAGCGGCGTCCGTCGCCAAGTAAAAGGTTAGTGCGCCAGCGCTCGCGCTCTTTGCAGCCGCAGCGAAACTGCGCACCGCGTCCAACAGCCAGCACGCAGCGTCGTGGCTTGGCTCGGGCAGCCGGAACGCGCAGGGATTCACGCAGTCTAGCAACACCCAATTTGCAGCGCCCGCGCTCTCGCTAGGCAGCAGCACATAGTAGTAGCGCCGCTGCGCGGCTAGCAGGTCGCGCGCACGCGAGAGTTGCTGCGGAAAGCAAGCAACCTCGAAGCAGCGCCGCAACGCAGTCGCCTGCTCGAACGAAGAACCGACGCAGTCGGACGGCAGCTCGCGGCAGAAGCTCTCAAACTCGCGGAGCGCTGGTATTGCGCCGGGCGTCTCCGCCAAGCAACGCAGCAACAAGTTCAGTAGCGCGGTCTGCAGCCCAGCCTCCACGCAGGGCTCCGTGCAGTACGGCACGCCGTCGGCAAGCGGCTCCGTCGCGAAGGGCGCGACAAACTCGAGCCGCTTGTCCAACGAAACCACCGCGCCACGGCAGCGCACGCCGCTTAGGGCGTATGTTCGCGCGAGCTCCGGCTCGACGCGCATAAACTGCAACGCGCCGAAGCCCAAGTTGTGCGCCATGCGCGTCAGCGCACAAGCGCTCGGCGCAGCTCGATTCCACATGGTCTGCTGATGCGCGGGCCGTAAAAATCCTTTCCGGGTAATTTAGTTCAAATTGCCGGAATCCCTTAATCGATTTTTTATTGCAGAATTACTAATTAGCAGCCATGATATCTCCTGATCAAATCGTTTCTCAGTTTCTCGAGCAGTACTACGCAAATTTGGCCAAACAACGCGGCAATTTGCAAAGTTTCTATGCAGGGAGCTCCGTCATGCGCTGGGAGAAGAACGAGTACACCGGGCAGCAGCAAATCATGGAGGGCTTCTCGCGCTTCGGCGAGACGGAGCTCGCGTTCCACAACATGATCAACACTTTCCAAATCGTGTTGAACCAGCACCTGCTAATCTTGGTTAACGGTAAGTGATTCCTCGCGCGCCGCAGGCATGGTGTCGATCGACGGCGCGAAAGAAGTGCCCTTCGTGCATTCATTCTTATTGATAAACCAGAATGGCTGCTGGTTCATCGCGAACGAAACATTCCGTTTTGCGTTCACGCAGTAGTTTCTCTGCGTCACATAGGCTGTGTCAGCAAAAAATCCATAACCTCCACATAACATTGTAGCACTTTGACGGTGGAAGAGTCCAGCTCTGCATTTTCGGCGAGCAGCCCTTCGAGCGCAACGACGTGCGCTAGGTAGGCGGTCGGGTCGCGCGCGGGCTCGCCGACGCTCACGCGGAACAGCAGGTCGCAACACGCCGCGACAACCTTCGCGTTCGTCCGCAGCGCGTCCGCCAGCCACCTAACAACCTTCGGCATGTCGAGACCGCAGCGCTGCAGTACACGCGCGTTCCAGCGGAAACACTCTTCGCTCTCGCCTGCCGCGAGCTTCGCGCCGAAGTAGCAGGGCAAGCCGACCAGCTGGACAGCGCGCAGCTGCCAAAGGCTTGCTGCTTCGCAATCCCGCTGCTTCGGCGGCTCCGCGGCGCGGCAGACGGCCTTCCGCAATTGGCCGAACCACGCCAACAGAGCCGATTCGAGCAGCGCTTCGCTCGCTACTTCCTTCAGCACGGCAAGAAACTTTTTGGCATTGCGGCTGAGAAGGTACAAGTCCAACGACGTTTGCGAGATGCGCTCCGTCAGATCGTCTATTGCGCCGTGCGTGTCGCCGACGACATACAAGGGCTGTGTCGGGGCACCAAGCTTTAGCTTGTGAATCGCATAGCGGTTCGTTTTGTACAGCACCACAAAGTCGGTATGCGCGTCATCTAGTTCAACCACCTCGAATGTGAGAATCTGGTACGCCATTTGCACGTCCAATGTGCCGTCGTTTAAGCTCTGCAGTACGCCACCACGCGCCTTGAAAACGGCAGCGCGCTGAAGCGCGTCCGAGTAGCAAAACACGAAGCCCTGGTCGTTGCAGAACAAGTGTTCGGGCAAGAAGTGCAGAGTCGCGCAGCTGCACTGCATTAGCTCCGCATTGTACAGATAGACGCAGCACAACTCCTGCGCAGTCGTAACGGCGCAGAAGTAGTTCTGCGTAGATTTCCGGGGGCAGACGTTCTTCAACAACAAACATTCGCCCGGCGCAAAAGCGACGACATGTCGCGAGCCCAAATAGAAGCCCTCTTCGCTAACAAGCACGCTGTGCTGCGTCTGCTCGCTGTGCTGCGTCTGCTCGCTGCGCTGTGCGCAGCGCTCCACGAGGCTGAAGCACAAAAAGCGCACCGACGTGGCCAAGCTCGCGCGAGCGCCGTCGCCGGCCGCGTTCGGCGCTGCCGCCTCCACCCGCGGGCGGAAGCTCAGCTGAAACTCAGAAACCGCCTTAGGTTCTGCCAGCGGCACTTCCGGTGCGTCCGCGTCGGTGACAGCCTGCTTCATTCGGAAAAATTGATCCAGCGGCGCCGAGTCCGCGCTGCCTGCTTCGACAGTCTTTTCCTTGTAACCATAGCACAGGCCGTCAAAGGTGCGCTTGTCGAACCACTGGTTGATGTACTGGAAGGTCTTATCGAAGTCGCACGTGGCGTCCAAATTAGATCGTTCTGCCTCGAGCAGGCTGAATATTTCGGAGCGAAACTCAGCCGTGCTGACGTTCTCCGCGCCCATAGCTAGGGCTGCGCCGGTCAATCGAGTGTTTAAATAAAATTCAGCTCGAAATAGCTGCGAGCAGTTATTTCGGGTCGTACAAAACGCGAGAAAGTAAATACCACAATTTCGGCAGCTCAGGCCAAGGGAAAAACACAGCGACAGCCAGTATCGCAGGCAAGTAGAACTTCAGCACTACGCGCAGCGCAGGTGCAATTGGCTTGACTGTGCTCTCTATCGTTTGCTGCATGTCGTTGTACAGCATCTCGTACTCGTAGCGCAAACAGCCCGGGTCAGCGATACTATTCACGTCACATTGGATGCGCGGCACCTGCATGTCGCTGCGGAACTTGACGCTGGAATCGAGTGACAGTAAAAACAGCGACTCCAGGTCGAGCAGCTCGCGCGACTTGCACAACTCCGTCGCAGGATCTTCGCACAGCAGTTGCGCGATCAGCGCGATGAAGCAGCTGTCGCTGAGCTGCGGCTGCGTTCTTGACGCTACGAGCAAGTAACCCGAGTTGTCGGAAGCGATTTCGTCAGCTTTTTCCTGAATGACCGAGTTGCAGCTCGTGGTCTCTACGGGCTCTGCACTTTCGTCGCTGCTGGTTGGCGCCTGCACGGGCTTGCGGGCTTGCTTTTTCTGTTTTTTGCGCGCAATGAGTTCGTTAGCCCACAGTTTGATTCGCGGTTGAAAGTCCGCCTTGTTTTTGCTTTGAAACAACAGCGGAATACTGAACATTTCAAGCGAATTGTTCGAATTCTGATAGTGTTTATCAAGCAGTGAAAATTCTTGCATCCGTCGTGCGTCCACATCGTGGATAGTAATGAAGTTCGCGAGTTTCTTCTTGTCGGCAAGCTCGCTGAAGAGCGAACAGATGTCGGGGTGGTCGAGCAAGCGACACATGGCCAACGCTGAAAAAATCGAGAACTTTTCGCTCGGCGACTTGTCTTTAATTGAGACCACGCTAGACGGGGGCACTATAAACTCTTTGTCTTTATCTTTCTCGTTGTTCAAGCGGAGCAAAGCTGCAGGTAGCAGTTGGCAACTAAACTCGTTGCAAAAGTAATTCTCCGGCACCGTAGCGAGACAAGTGAACGGTTCAAAAAGTGAGTTGACCTTGCTGTTCGAGCACATGTACGCAGATCCCCAAGTTTTGCTTGCTGGCTTAAGACATTTGGCATGATACCGGTTACAGGTAACGATGCTGCTGTAAGTCGTATGGTTGTGCGCGAAGAAGCGGTAGTCGAGGTATACAAACTTAGTCATGTGCAGAGCCAAGTAAACTATGTAGAGCATGCCGAGGTAGCGCAGCAACCTCGAGCCGATCACCGAGAGACTCAGAAAAAAATTGACTGACTTGTGCCCGCTAATGCGTACTTTTGAGGTAAACACGCGGTCGAAGTAAAACTCGTACAAGTGCGTGGACGCGACGCTGAAGCAGCTGATACTAAACTGCACGAGGTTCCGGAATAGATCCAGCGGGCGCATCTGCACAATGCGAGGGACGCGGAAAACTTCGAGCGCGCCGAATGCGCAGTAAACCTTGTTCGGATCCGAACACTCTGACAGCCACGTGTTCAGCGAAAAGTTGAGCATTGGGCTCCGCTGCGTCGGGCTGCGTATCAGCATGCGCGCTATGGCAGCACAATCGCTACTTACCATGTGTCAGCGCCCAGAGCGCTACAACCGTCAGGCCAGAAAAACAAATCAGGCGGTATTTCTGAGCAGAGACGCGCGCGCCAATGACCGCAACTTCGTCGTTGTAGCCGAAACTTTTGGTTAGGAAGCCCATTATTTATGGAGCAGTTCCCTTTATTTAATGAATTCAAGCTGCACAAGCAGGCAATAGCAGGGAAAACATTCAGATAATTGAAAAACCTCGCGAGGCTGCAATTTACGAACTCGCTAAAAAGGGAAGCGCGGCGGCCACCGACTACGCTTTCACCTTGCTCAAAACATTTTTGTACAGCGCAGGGATCGTCTTCATGTAGCGCATGCGGCCAGTCCCAGTAGTGCGGCGGCGAAGAGCCTTGGCGGACCAGTTGTACTTGCGGAGCCGTGCGCTCGGAAATCCGCAGCTAGCGCACGTTTTCTTTTGAATGTGGTACGAACCCTTGCCACAACGTCGACAAATTTGATGCGTCTTCTTGTTGTGCAAACCGCGAGAGCCGGTACCTTTGCCGCACTTACCCATTGCTTCGAATTATATTAACAATAATCAATAATTGATTTGTTGTTGTCCTCTGCGCAGAGTTGGCGCAAAAGTTTGATCAAAATGCAGCTCCTTCTCACGCACTTCGTACTTGCATCTGCTGTGTGCAGCATAAACTTACTCCACAACAGGACGGTAGGGACATTTAATTAGTCGCAGCGCGCTTCCGTCCATCCACAACCGCATCTTTACGAGTCCGTCCCACGTTAGCCCGAGAAGCGGCTGGTTCTCAAGTTGGACGCGGTTCGTTGTCAGCGTAACCGCGACGCCGCACTCGAACAAACGAAAAAGAGCAGTTTCCAGTCGAAACAGCAAGCGCGCGCGCTGTACGCGCATCTCCATTGTCCAAGCAAGGTCGTTTTGCAGCACTGGCGCTGTTGCGGCCACGCAGCGATCCATGAATACCGCTGGCAAATCATCTATCAGTAGATAGTTGCGAGAGTTTTGCGTAGAAGCAGCGCGAACTGACTCAAGTGAGTTCATGAGATTTGCAAAGTCAGTCACGCACGCCACGCGCAAGCGCTCGAGGCAATTCTGCGTCTTTGTTTCTGACGGTAAAAAACTTGCTACACGTTCCACCACCGGCTTCCCTCCGCAACATAAATAATATACGACGTTGGCGCTGTCCGCGGCCAAGGTGAGCGCGCTAAAATACAGCAAAAACTGCGTTTTTCCGCTACCAGGCGGTCCCTGTGTTGCGACAGCGACCACTTACATAGATTTCCGTAATAAGGTGGGATCTGAATCCGCCGCCAAGCAACGCATCAAGCTTTGCGTTGCCGGTAGCATAAAGTTCATGCATAACTGCACGGTGGCGTCGAAAATGAA